TAAAAATAATGAAAGCAAATTACACAAGATTGAAAAATTGGCCGGATACAAATTTGGAAATAAAAAACATAATTAATTTTTTTTTACTTTTGTGGCCAAAACTTACCCATATGCGGAATTTTAAAAAAATTTACCCATTTTGAGTATAATGAAAGCAAATTAAAATTGGCCAGATACAAATTTTAAATTAAAAACATAATTAAATTTTTTTAATTTTTGTGGCTGCTGGGATTCGAGCCCAGGTCTCCACGGCCACAACGTGGAATTCTCACCACTAAACTACAGCCACTCTAGATTTTCGTTTTCCTAAGTTGTATTTAAAGTTTTAAACTATTAAAAATATTCACAATAAATATATATTATATCTGATGCAAATATATTTTGAGATCAATTCATACACATTGAAATAAATAATGAAATATATTTAAATATTTTTGTGGTTTGTATTACACATATATTAGTATAATAGAAATGTCATTGTAAATTAGAAGTTTACAAATCAAAATTTGTTATTTGATATGACTGGTTCCCAAGTTTATTATGATGCCAAAATAATTAAAAATTAATTTGAATGCTCACTTAAAAAAAATAGATTCTTATGATTTATCATGTACTACATGTTCACAAAAGAAATTGATGATAGGATTATTAGGAGGTTGAAAAAATAAGCAATAAATCCATAATTTTTTTGGAATTGACATAGGTGATATTTGTGAATCAATACACTCTTATGTAGATCATTTATATATTTTGTGGTTTTAATTTATGCATCAGGTCACATGTTTGTATTTATCTATTTTTAATCAAACATTTATGAAGTTGTTAGTTTAATTAATTTAATAAAATTTCATTGTTAATTAAGAAAATCTTCTAATATGATGATGGTAAAATTACATATATCCTAGATAAAAAGAGTATTGTGTCAACTCAAATTAATGGTGAACATTTTATACTTTATGTTTATAAACAAAATAGACTTACAATATCATACAAAGTATTTGAAGTTTACTGTAAAATTAATACTAATGAGACTGAAACTTTCAATCACTAATTAGGGTTATATAATTATACATATTATAATACAAATTTATATAAAACAAACAACTTATCTTAGATATTTTACTTGTTATTATTGGTTTTAAGTCAACAATAAAATATTTTCCATATATATATATATATATATATATATATATATATATATATATATATTCTAAGTGAATTTCAAGTTCTCACATAAAATCGAGAATATATGTTAGATATGAATTACATCAATAATAAAGTATTTTGAACCATTGACTAAAGATTATATTTACAACTTAATTTGCCAAAATTGAGTTTGATAAATAAAGTTTTTCAACATTAAGAGAAGAATAAACTATTCAAAAAATATATTAGTTGGAATAAAATATCATTATCTCATGTTGATCTCACAAAATCATGTTAACTAGATATTAAAAAAAATCATTTACAATGTTTAGTCAATTAGATATCAAATATATTTATTGACTCAGAATATAGTGACTAATTCATATGCATTAACTATCAATACTCCAATTATAATTCATGTTTCAATTGAGTGTTTTAATACTACAAACCAGTCTCAAACATGATATAAGTGTAGTAACTTATTAGTTCCAAAAAAAGAAAAAAGAAAAAATGAGTCATCTAAGGATGAAAACTCCAAATTATTCATTTGATATAAATAATATACTACTTTCAAAAGAAATAAAGTATATGAAATTATTATGAAATTGAGATATCTCAATTAATTATGCCATAAATGAAATAATATGTAACAAAGGTAGAATCAATATTGACAATATTAAATATGAAAAAGAGTGTCATATTTATAGTCCATATATCTAAAGAAGTTAAATCAATTGGTTACACGTGAATATTTTTGTAAAGGTAAAATGAAAATGGTGATAAAATTATGAGATATAAAACCCAACTGGTTATTTTTAGAAATCTTTTACCATAGTCAATATTAAAATTTGAATTATTGGTAACTTATTCAAAAGAAAATTTAAATTTACATCTAATGCGTGTTGTCAAACCTATTTGAATAAGTTCTTTTTTATATTAAAGTAATATGGATGTATGTGATATAAAATCTCAATGAATATTTGTTTAAAGAAGAATTTAAAAATAATATAATTTATACTTCTATTTTTTAATAAAAGATAAGAAAATGAATTTATCATAATTATTGTTTATATAGATGATGTAAACATTATTGAAACTCCTTACTAAGTTTGAAATGTAATTGATTATTTAAATAAAGTTTTTCCTTGGGACTATAAATTACGTATTTAAATAAAGTCATCTTTATACACAGGGCTTGTATAAAGAAGTTACTTAAAAGGTTTTATATAAAAAATCATATCTATTAATAATTGTAAGGTTATTAAATATAAATTTAAACCTCAAGAAAAAAAAATGACAAATTTCTTGATCTAAAAATACCATGTCTCAATGTTACAAGAGCATTAATGTTAATGCTCTTATAACATATATTAATAAGATATAATTTTTTACTTACGAGAAATTAGGTGGAATTAAAACATATATTTCGTAATCAGTACCACAAGTTTATATTTATTCTATTTCAAATGTTTAAAATTCAAATTTAAAAATTCATGTGAATGCAAGTTATTTATTAGATCTTCAATAATGATCTATCACAAACAGTATATTGGTTATAATGTTTGTTCATAGCACGGGTGATTTATAACAAGTTATATTAATGTTATCGTTAAATCATAAAAAAACATGTGAAGCTAGTTGTGAATGTGATCGGTTGAGATCAATAATTCAAAAAAAAAATTATATATATAAAGAAACTTGTTGTCTATATTTGGAAAAAAAATACTCCAATAATTATATATTATGCACTCCTCAATTAAAAGATAAATATAGATTTAAAAGGTTTGTTCACGTAAAAGTTTACCAAATTTATTTACAAAATATTTAACCATTAATTCATAAGATTGAATTACATTAAAATTAAATATTTATTCAATTACAAATATAATTATTAATTAATTTTTTTTATTATAAACTAGTTTTTAAAGTAATATCTTTAAAATATATATTTCATTTTTTTTTCAATAATATATACTATGATATATAATTATAAAATATTTTTTATTATAATTTTCTTTAAGATTATTTAAAATTAAATTAATAAAATAATATTATATTACAAATAAATAAAAAATATTAAATTATATGTTTTATTTTATAATTACTTTCATATTTAAGATATTTTATTAAAATAATAATTAAAAAGTATATATATATATATATATATATATATATATATATATACGAAAATATATTCTATATTTATAATATTTTATTAAAATAATAATTAAAAGTATATCTTATTTGATAAAAAAAAAAGTTATTTCTTTTCAGTTTCTTGGAAATCTACTTTTTGCGGTTTCTTTTTTACGTACAATTGTATCAAACAAAGGGGGAAGGTTAAATCTTGGAATTGAAATTGATCTTTATTAAGAATTGAGGCTTATAATTTGATGATTGAATTTTGTTATCTTTTTGTCTTTTTCAATTTACCCGTTTTCATATATTATATATATGACTAATAAATATATTTTTATTTTTATTTTAATTTATCTTTAATGCTTTTATTTTCAAACTGATATCTTCTAATTTTTGAAAACATATATATTTTTAGGTATTTTTTATAATTAAATTTAACATTTAGTTATGAGATTTTATGTTAACAGAATTCATAAAAAGATTAAATATGGCTTTAATTATACCTAAATTTATATTTATTGATATTTTTTATATAATTAATTAAATGACTAAATTTACGTTTTATTTTAACTTTGAAGATTAATTTATTGACATTTAAAATATAAAAATTAAAATTATATTTGACTAAAAAAATTTAGAAGGATTAAAACCCAAAAAAGACTCTCTCTGTACACATCAACCATTTCAGATCTAGAAAAGAGAAGAAAAAAATTACACTTGAAGAGATTCATTATTATGTGTTCGTGAAATTTGTCCTTGTCGCTCCAACCATCAGTGTGAACTTGGCATAACGATGAATGCAACGCCATTATCTGTGACGGTAGAGAAGAAGCAGAAGACTAATTGAAAGATTAAAGGACGGTCTCTTAGCTGCCCACAACGTGGTCTGCTGTCAAAGAAAGAGCAAGTGAGGGGAATATTTCACGATCACATCTAGAAAAAGTTAGTGGAGTGAACCCCCCTTTCAAGATCAGTAAGATTCCGATTATGAGATTTGGGTGGAAAACATAGTTAAAGAGAATAACTATGAAGAATTAATATATTTAAGTATTTTATAATATATAACAATAATAATAATAAATCTTCTAGCAAAATACTTTTCCAACACCAATAGGAGGACAACAATATCTAAGCAACACTTTTGGCATTTTGACAAAAAATAAATGTCGAAATAAAATGCTCGCACTTTCATTTATTTTAAGATTATAGGATATGATAAAAAAAATCATAACATAAAATATTTGAAAATCACTTTTTCACTATTTTTTTTAAACATAAAAATAATACAAATACGCTTCAAATTAATAAAAATCTATGCTTGAAGGTTAATAATAAGACTTCAACCATTGCTTTGAAAAGTTCAAATAATAGATAATAAATTTAACTAACCTTAAAATTTGAGTCCTAAGTCTCTTATTCAATAATAATGAAGCACTTATTTCCGACATTAAAAGCAATATACCCTCTCGCTAAATTGAAAACTAAGAAAGCAAAAATTTAGGATCTTTTGTCGCCTGGGAGGGCCATACCATATATCAATATACATGTTGAATTATTAAAACTGGTAACATCTAAAAATTTGGGACTACCCATGTAGCTCAGATAATAGGGTCTTCTAAAACAATTTTGCAGCTTTTGAATACTGTGATGAAGAAATACAGAGAAATGTCCTAAAAGTTGACTATATAGCAAAGGGAAAAACTTGAGAATACCCATCACTCATGAAATGAGGCGACTAGAGCGGGAGTACTAATTGGCTTTCCACGTCCCATTGTGAAGCCTCTTGTCCCATCTGGCATTCTTGGGCCCTTGGTGTTGGGTTTAGTGTGAGCATCACACAGGACAGTGCTGCTTGATTGAGATGGTGGTGCAAGCAGGCCACGTCCTTGAGTGCGTCCTCTCCCCTTTCCACGTCCTCTAGCCCATCCTTTCTTAGATCCTACTGAGCCTTCATCAACCTTCCAATTTACCAAATACAAAGGCTTATCATGTTTCTTAAACCAATGCTCAATGCAACCCTTTTCTAAAGGATCAAATTTAAACACAGCTTCCTATAAAAGGGGTCTGTGGTTCTTCCATAAAAGTATGTTTTTTCACAATTTACTGTCGAATTGCAAGAAAGCGATGGCTTTATATCGCATTTGAGATTTAAGATATAGTTGACTGACAGAATGCAATGTACATGCAACGTTACTTACATTTGTATCAAACAAATCAGCATTGTTTGAGTGAGATGAATCCTCAGCAGTTTCAGAATTAACAACCTCATCATCGTCTAGATATCCATCAAATTCAGACTTTCTACTCTTCAGAACAGATTTAGGCTGCAAAGTTAACATAGAAAAATCCAGTATGAAGTTCAAGAGACACAGTAGATAAAAGGAGGTATCAATATCAGGTACAGAAGTACATACCGAGCATCTTAGGAGCAGCCTTACTCGCATCCCTTTCCTCCAATTCCTTTCATCATTTAACTTCTCAACCTAACCAAGTGAGAGGTAAACTGGTATAATAATTGAATCATACGCATCTAAAAAGCTAAAAGTTCTTGGAGAATTTACTCACAGCTTTGTCAGCTATATCTGATGTCTCATACTCCACAAGTGCATGGAGCTTGATCAGGAGGCACAAGTAACGTCGGTGAGAAAATATAATAAGTATCATTTGAATTCTTGAGATAACAACATAGATATATGGTATGATTTTGTTTCTCTACCTTGTTACTGACGAAGAAATCAGATTTTGGGCGAGAAGAATTAGGCTCTTGAGGATGGCATATTCTGATTGTTTTCACGCTGTTCACAGACCAGCCATCAATTAGAACTAAGAAACTTCAAGAATGTGAAGTTCATATAAGTACACAAAGGGTTTTGGATTTGGGTAGAAGAAATTCACCTCCCAACTGTACTAAATATTTTCTGAAGATTCTGATGGGAATGATCGTCAGGTAAATTCTCTGCAACAACAGTGCGAGACTGCAAGAGAAAAGAAAAACGCATGCATTATGCGACAATCAGATGAAACTTTTAACACTATCCATGTGGGAAAAAACAAGAAAGCATACAATTTCTATACCTGCAAGTCCTCTTTTTCTTTCTCAGTGAAAGGATGTTTGCGTTTAACCTTCTTGCCATCAGCGCTCAAAACCTTCAAAAAATCGCACTTTCAGAGAGAAAACCAAATAAGAAGACCAAAAAGAATGCCCCTTTCATCGAAAAATACTTACAAGTTTTGAAGATGAACGGATAGCTTGGGTAAGCGTATGAACGTTACCAACGAGGGATTTAACCTTTTTAGTAGAAGCAATCACTGTTATTGGAACTGTCACAAAACCAACGTCCATCAACGAGATAAGATCATTGCAATCCTAAAGAGAGGAGGGAGGAAGAAAACAGGAGATAATTCTAAAACCCTCACCATATCCTTCAGGATCTTTATTTATCTGTTTCTGAAAAGATTCATTTGCTAACAAACTCATGTCACTGAACTGGTATTCCACCTATTACAACCAAACATTCTTTAAACAATGAAACCTTTACATGTCACAATAACAAAAACAATGGAAAACACAAATCCCTTCATCGAAATATCACAGTACTGGTTGGCATTGATCATTGAAACAAGAGCAATGACCTTATTGAATGAAAGTTAAACAAAAAAGGATTTTGATGAGAGGGGTGAGACCTGTTTGACGATCTTTTGTTGAAGATCAGGGGTAAGAATATTCTTGGAGGAATTGGGTAGCGCAACACTGGCAGTGGGGATCAAACAAGAAGGATCCTGGTCCCCAACAAAGAACCAATCAGAATCACCAGAGCCACCGAGAATCTGGAAGCAGGGATAGAAATAACCCGAAATGGGCATCTGGGCTTGCGACCGTGGGACAAATTCTGGCGCTTGGGCATTGAATTTGAAGGTGGAATTCCCTGTTTCTTGGGTGTCCTTTTCTGGGTTCTCATGGATCTTCTCTTCAGGTTGCGCCTGTGCCATTCCTCTCTCTGGAATTCTCTTTTATTTTTTCTTTCTCTCTCTCTGCGATGATAGTATGGTATAAGAGATTGTGAAACGCAGTGTTGTATTCCCTTATGCTATAACTGCTTTTTCTTTGTTTCCATATTCAATCCACTTTTTTCGCGCTCAAACGCTTCCTCTCTCTTACACTTGTGCCCTTTTGACTAAATCTTTTAAGGTTACCACACAAATCCCTCTAACAACCCTCTTTTCTTTCTTAGCAAAATACCAAAAACCAAATTAGTTATCAGTAATTTCATTTCATTTTACTCTACTACCAGAGTCAATTATTAGACTTATCTTCTATTTATTATAAAATTTTGTTATTATCTTTTCCATTTTTTTTTCATTCTGATAAAAGTATTATTTTTATTTGAGAAAGAAAATTATAAGTGTCTTAAAGTTCAAAATAATGCCACCAAAGAAATATAAGGATAAATTTATAAATATATATACAAATATATTTAATAATTAATAAGAATAAGAGATCAAAATCATAAATATTAATATAGATTAAAAATATTTTAAGTGATAAGCTTCTCACTTCCAAAAATATAAGAAATTAAAATAATATATTTTAAAATAAAACTTACTTAAATAAAATTTATAAAAAATTATTTACCTAAATAAATTTTTTTATTATTTATATATAGTTTTTCTTCTCTCTATGTTAATTTTTTTATTCTTTTTCTCTTTTATCTTAAATTTCTTATTTCTCTCCCCATTTAATCTACTAACTAAATTATTATATTAAAATTTAATAAATATATATTAAAGTAAATATTTTTAAAATAACATTAAAACTAAAAAAATATAAACTAATTATTTAAAATTATGATAATAAAGAATTTTATTTATTTTGACACTGAATAATTTTATTTATGATACCATAAATAATTAATTTATAATTATTTTATCTTAATAAATAATTACCCATCTAATTAAAAAATATACAATATTTATAATTTAAATTTATTTTTATTTAACAATTTAATGTAATTATAATTAGGTTGGGTTATGATAATTAATTAATTAGATTAAGTATTTTTTTAAATATTTATTAAAAATTATTTTAAAATAAATATTTAATTTTTTCTTAATAATTATAACTTAATAATAATATTTGTAACATCTTAATTTATCATATAATATTTTTATTATATAATAAATTAAATTATAGTATTTATGGATTATTTAAATATTATATTTTTAATAATAATAATAATAATAATAATAATAATAATAATAATAATAATAATAATAATAATAATAATAATAAAAGACTATGTTATCAAATTTCAATCTACTCTCTTCAATAAAAGAATAAGATGGAATGAGAAACAAAAAAACAAAAAATAAATGAGAAAAAAAACAAAAAATAAATGAAAAGAGAAAAAAATAAAAAAGGAAAGAGAGAAAAATAACTGTATTATATATCAAATAAATTTATTTTCCTTATTAAAGTTTGTATATCAACCATTGGTAAATAAACTTAAAAAGATTGTATTTAAGTAATTTTTTTTAATATAATATTTATGATATTGATTCCCAATTTTTATGTCTTTTATCTCTTATATTTTTTTTAACCAAACATATTTAATTTTTTAAGCTTATCAACCTATTTTCATTGAACTTTGTTGTTTCCTTAGTTACGCCAAATTCAAATCATTAATATATAGAATAATCTTATGATTTTGATAGCATACTATATCGTGTTTTTAATATAATTCATGACTAATTAACAACCAATTTACTTCAGTCAATCAATTAAGTTATTTGATTCCATTTAATGTTTTAATTAAATTATTTTACTTTCTATTTTCATTAGTTATTAGTTATGAAATTAAAAAAAAATCTTGCCTAAAAATAAAAAGCAATATATATTATTAATTTTAAAATATATTATTAAATTTAAAATATTTTATTATAATTAATAATTAAATAAATTTTAACTTAAATATATTTATGAAATAAGTTTTAATTTATTAATTTGATTTTATTTCTTTCCACAATTATCAACATAAATTATTAATATATTGATTTGATTTTTAATGAATTTTAATAATAAGTTGTAATATATATATATATATATATATATATATATATATATATATATATATTGCTAATTTTGAGTTTCTGTATTCAAATTATAATTAGTTTGTGTAGATTTATAAATTATTAAAAAAGTTTCAAAATAGTATATTAAAATAAAAGTTAGATAGTTAAAATAAAAATTAAATAATTAAATAAAAAGATTAGTCTAAAACGTATGTAAATAATATTAAATATTATGAAAATGAAATATTATTTTAAAACATTAAATTATTAAAAAAATAACAATAAAAATGAAAATAAATTGTTTTCGTGTCATCTAATCAATTGTCTTTCATAAACACTATCTTCCTATAAAAAGACTATCCCTTAACAAGACTAAATAAATGTGATGTCTTTGCAACTTTTATGATCCAAGAATATTCATCATAAGTAACAGTATTTCTTTTAATGTGTTATAGTTGCAAAAAAAAACTATTGATTGAATTCGTAGCCTACAGAAAGTTTGGGCTAGCTTAACGTATTTTCATACTCGAGCCCAAAAGACTCGGGTTGGACTAGATAGGTTGATTTATCAGATCCAAGTTCATATTAACGACTATGTCCTCTGTTTATATTAGTGCTACGTAACAGTATTATAATATTAAAAGTAACTGATGTTTATATTTTAAAAAATTTACATCAAATCTCGTTTATTTATAATATTATTAAAATATTTATTTTATATAAAAGTTATATAATTATAATTGAAAACTATGGAAGAGCAATATCAAAATTATGAATAGAAAAACAACTAATAAAAATTATCATACGATTATTTCACATGTTTTATTCATATTTAACAGTTGAATTTTTTTTTCCAAAATTCAAATCCTACCCTATCTCTAGCAGAAAAAAAATCACTATACAAACTACATATATTTCTAATCGGCCATGGTAGATGCAAACACAATTATAAAAACAAACTAAATGATAAACAAACATTAAGTAAGAACATATATGCAAGAATATAAAATATATTAAACAAGTTTACTAAAAAAATGAGTTAACAAGAATATAAAAAAAAAAATTGAATAGAAAGAGTAGAAGGAATATAATCTGAAGAAGATTTTAAAAAGAGGTGGAGAATCTGAGCGACCAATTTGATGAGATTAAGAAAGTATTAAATAGAGGGAGCCTGATGAACAAATTTGTCTCCTGTCCATGTTCCATCATATTCACAAGATTCTCAACAAATTGCAGATGGAGATAGGAAGCAACAAGAGAAGGAAGTTCCACGTAGATTTTGGAAGCAAAGCAAGGGAAGTTAGGTCAAAAGATGAATAAAATTAATGGTGTTTTGGTTGGTGGTGGTTGGCCTTTTGGCCAAACGCATCTGGACCTGTGGACTCTTCTTCCTGCCATTTCCTTCTTCCTTACACATTCATGCCACACTCATCAACATGGCAATCAATCACATTCTTTCTTAACCATGGGTTTTCTCTTTTCTCTTGTGGGACCACACAAGATATATATATGCTTATGTGATTAACCCTATTTATTATTCATTATCTGCATGTCTTTCTTTCACTGTTCATCACTTCCTTTAAGAGAATATTGTTAAGATTTTCTGCAATCTAATTAGTTGACTTTAAAGATGAGCTTTTGGACAGAGACATTGAAACCATAAGATTTTCACGTGCACAATAGGTGTTAACTTTGTTCATTGCAAATAATGGGGCTATAACGGTTATTTCTTCCTTATTTATCAGAAATTATTTAAATGTTTTTAGAGTATGTAGAATAATATTGATTTCATAATTACTGCAAGTTTGATATATCTGAGGTTTGGTAGTATATTTGTCAGAAATATACTTATAAATTTGTTCTTTTATCTTAGAAAAATATTTATTTTTCTTATATTTTAAGATTAAATGGTTAAAATTAGTATTACTAAATAAAATAAAAAATTAATAATAGTTCCAACAAAGATTTATGGTACTATTATTATGTCACCTTGTATACTTTATGACAGAACAAAGAAAAGTAGAGTATATTAAAATATATGCAACCATAAAAAAAATATTAAATACAAAATTATTCAGTATAAAGAGATATTGGTATGAATTATATATATATATATATATATATATATATATATATATATATATATATATATATATAACAATTAATGTATTTGGCACAAAGATGACTTTAGACTCCATTTGATAATAAAAAAATAAAGTGTAAAAAGAAAAAGAAAAATAGATGAAATAGAGTGTAAAATATAAAAAATAATATGAAAGTAAATAAAAATTATTATTTAATTAGAATTTAATATTTGCAATTACCAAATTAGAAATTATTACTATTGACTCATTTTCTTACATTGATCACTTTATGCTTTACACTAATATTTTTTAATACATAAATAGAGATAGAGAAAAAGTAAAAAAAAAAAATCCGTTAAAATAAAATATTGTAAGAAATAATATTAAAGAATATTTTTTGAGAATCTAATTTTTAATGAAGATAAATATATTTTTTATGATTCATATAATCGGTGTAATCTAGTTAGATGAAGGTTTTAATTTTGTTGTTTTGAAATGAAGGAGACATGTTTTAAATTATGGTAGTTGGTTGGATAAGCTGAACCTGGTTTAGAAGCTGTAAAGATAATGAGAGAAATTGTATCATTTTCACTCACGCATTTCCTCAAACACAAATGCGTACCATAATTATGAATGAATATCGCTGTGGGCTCCTTCGTTATTTTGTTACAAGATTCTCCACTATAATTTTGTTTCTGAAAGTGACTCTTTTGTCATGCATGAACCTGAATACTTCATAATTCATAAACATTAATGGCTGACGTTTTCTTTTTTTTTCTCACATGTGGGATACTAGGGTTAGGTTAAAGGACAAAATGAGGTCTGAAGATAAAGTCTTTGACTAATGAACACAGCGATTACCATCATATACAAATAAAAAATAAAACATTGATTTTGATTAAAATTTACTTCTTTAATATGTTAAGAGAAATCCATAGAAAAGAAAGTTTAATGAAGACATTAGAATAACATTAAAGAAATAACAAATTTTCCATGCATTATAAAAGAATAAACTTTTTCACGCATCAAACTGCCCAAAAGTCAAGATTATCAAATATTGTTATTTGATTTTTTTCTCTTTTGATCTGTCTTTCTTCATCTGGTTCTTTGTCACCTTACAAGATGTTGAGAGTTTAGTTGTTGGGTGCTTGTGTTAATTAATATACATCAATGCACTCCTAACGTAAACGAGTTAACACGAATTCACCCTAGAATATGTTAAAATCTTATTTTAAACAATTCACACATTTTAATTTTATTATTTTTTATTTCATTATGTATTATATTAACTTAGTTTAATCCAATGTTATATTTTAAGTTTGATTACAAAATTTATTTGTGTGGAAGAAATTACATTGTAGAAGAACCCTTCAATGTTTGACCATAAAAAAATTATTTATTGCCTACCAAATTGGAATAATAAGATTGACCAAAATAAAGTTATCATACACAATGACATGGATCAATAAAGGAGTTGTTTTTATAATTTTATTCGTTTAAAAATTAAGATACCATAATATTTTTATTATCTTAACAGAAATAAGGCAAAAATAACATTAAAACAATACGACTAAAAAAATCATATTTTATTTAATAATGAGATGATTTCGGTGTAATTATAAATGCCTTTTATATATATATATATATATATATATATATATATATATATATATATATATATATATATATATATATATGATTGAATGAAATTATTTTGAGATAAAATTACGTTCATGTATATTGCACAATTATATTATTACATTTAAACATGTTTGATTTAAATTATTTTTGTTTCTCATTTATATTTTATATTAAAATGATATCATTTTTATACGTTTTTTTTATTTATTTCAAGAATTAAACACATCTTATGTCATCAAAACTAATTCTAAATAAAAATAATTCTTGAATTATTATAAATTATTTTATTGTTATAAATTTGTAACAAAAAATAGTAGATTCACGTCCAAAACTGCTAAGAAATAAATTTGTTTTTGAAAGAGACGGTACTGATTTGACCCATTGCTGTCAGAGCACAATATGGAAATGGTAGAAATGTTTGATTAGTTTGCGCACAGGAGTAGGCATTGTCTGATGTGATGCGAGAGAAGAACGTACTAGAAAAAAAGGAATGATTGTGAAAATATATGCGTGTTGTTTAGGTGTGTACACAAAATATGAGAAAGAACTAGTTGAGTAGTAGGAAAATCAATGTGCAAAAGAACAGTTACCCAGCTGAATACTGGACTAATTAATTTCTTCTGGGCATTCTCATGACAAAAAAGAATGAAAAATAAAATAAAATTGTATGATACAAAACAAAATTGACATTCTCTCTTCAATACATGTTCATCCAACAACTTCCTCTTATAATATAATATTTAATGTTAAATTATTTTTATTTTTTATAAACCCTTTTCATGATTATTACATGAATATAATGGGTTGTTGAATGAATGATTTCTATCCAGGAGTGGTTTAGCTCTGAGGAAAAAAAAAATTACCAGCTAAGTGAAGGAAAAAGGATATTTTAAGTTGGAGTCTCATCAAAACTCATGCAGTATAGAAGGCAAGCTAAACCTCAACAACTCCAATAGCTTCTTTTCGTTGACCCTCTTCTATGTATCGTGTATTATTCTTATGTTGTGGTAAAACTCTTCTCCCATGTATACTTTTATCTGCAAAATTCATGGTGGAGAGTAGTATCCTATACATCAACATTTCCAGGTTTGTGCAGATGACTTTTCCAACTAAAACTCTCGGATCTTGCATCTTCATCATCTTCCATGCTCTCACCTTCGGTTGGGGATGTTCCTCCTCGTGACCCTGCTGTCAAATGAAGGGGACTTTGAGGAGAATCTGACCCTGAACTGCTAACTTTCGAGGAGTCATTGTACTGATCTGGAGACATCCACAAACCTCCAAGAACCACAACTGGCTGATTACCACTTGCAGCTGGAACTCTCCGTGTATGAAGCCGGTATTTCTGCAATTGTACATAGAGCCGATCATCAATCCCAATCCAAACTTCATAACACATGAAAATTTTAGTTTGACATTTTTTTTCAAATTCCTTGCATATCACTAGACAACAAAATTTCTAAAAACTCACTTGTAGGTGGCTTTTCACTTCATCGTTAGTCAGACCATCAACCTGCATGAGCTCTCTAATTTGCTTGGGTGTTGCCGCTGCAATTGACACAACACACAAGTTTAGACAAATGAATCAAACTATGTTTAATATAACATGCTCTTAGACAAATGAATCAAACTAGATTTAATATAACATGCTCTTACAAATTCGTGTTTGTCAAGATAAATAATTTAGTTTTACATTGAGAGTTCATACTCCATATAAATACACTATGTTATCTGTCTCGTGATCTATTTTTACACAAGTCACAACATTATACATGAAGCAAGAGAACAAACACTACCTAACTTCAACCAACATCTATAATTTTAAAATTTCAACATCAAATTCTTGAATTTTTTTTTTCTACTAACATATTCTTTTCAAATTGATTGAAATTGAGTCATTTAATATGAAAAGACATAATTGTAGAGTAAAAGTAACATGATATTTTTAGTTTGACAGAGTGAAATATACATAGATCAAAATTCAATTTCACATCAAGATTGAATAAACAACTGCTAACCTTGAGAACCTCCTAGCTTCTGCAAAGCATTAACAAATCGTCTGTGCAACTCAGGGGACCAGCATCTCCTCTGTTTCCTAGCGGTCTGTTGAAGATTTGATGTCCTCAAACTGGTGTGAATTGTAGGAGGAGAAGAAGAAACAGCCCTGTTGGAACTGCTTCTGGATCCCCTTGAAGCACATCCCTCTCTCAAGGAAGGAGGGGTCTGAAGAGAAAGCCTATTCATAGCACTCTCTTCCTTCTCTTCTTTGGTTGCAGCAGACAGGCCCACTGTTGCCACCGGCATAGAAGATGAAGAAGAATACTTAGAGAAAGGCAAAAACGCCCTTCTTCCTCCATTTCTATTGCTAGATGATTGAAAAGGATCTTCGCCTACATATTGTCCTCCTTCAATCTTTTGTCATTACCAATAAAAAAAACATTCTTAACATTAGTTGTTGATAGTTTGAATATGGATAGATAATCAGCAAGAACATCCATAAAATACTTTTTTCAAATTTTGTATAGAAAATCTTAACATCTTCGTAATTAAATCACTCTAAAATCCGAGTAGAAATACAAAACAGTTATTCTACCTTGGATTCTAATTTATGGAGTTGTTGCTTCCCACCAGACGCATTGTTATTAGTGGTAGTGTTATTCCAAAGCTGAACAGAACTCAACCAATTCCTCTTATCCCTGCATTCGTTATCTTTATCATGATCATCATTTTTCTCGTCCTGATCAAGCTCTTTCTTTAAGGGAATGAACTCCTCCAACACCGGCGGAGAATCACGCGGCCGGCATTTATGCGATTCCGCCTTGAGAACTGAAATTGCTGCGAAGAACAAAAAGAGTGTGAATTAGAGAAAAAAGGAAGCCAGAGGAAAAAAAAAAAAGGAAAACGGAAGTGAGCTAACCGTCGTTTAAGAGGAGCATAGAGAGAGGAAGCTCGCGCTTGAAGGCGTGGATCTTGCGGAGCTCGTCTTCCAATCTAGCGAGCAAATCGTGGAGGGTGAGGAGCTTGTCGGGGGCGGAGGAGAGGTGGCGGAGGAAATCGGAAATGGTTTTGGAGACAAGGGAGGGTCTTATATCCAAGCTCAGTTCTGCGGGAACCGAAGCCATTGGATCGTGATTTTTCTTGGTGGGCTCTTCAGATTCAGATTGTATTTGCAGAAGAAGACGATGAAGAAGAAACAGTGAGGATGGAGAAGGGTAAGGAAAGGAATAAATAAATAAATGCGGAGGAAGAGAAAAAGAGTGGAATTGTGAAAATTGAAGAGGAAACAAGGAAAGTGGGTTGGATGTGAAGGGAAATTTCAGAAGGCCAAGATTCTGTGGAATAAAAGAGATAGAGAGGATTAGAAGAAAGCAACTACGACGACGGAGGTTTTGAAAGTCACTTCCGTGTCATCGCGTATTTAATCCATCTTCTCTAAACCCATTGCATCGCCTTCTATTTTCTTCAATCTAATCTTATTCTTTCAAACACTCAATTTTTTTTTATTATGCTCAACTTTATATAAACATTCTTCTTCACACAAATTTAGGAACCATCAAACTTAATTATATACTAATTTATATTGGTAATTATATATTTTTAGCATTTAAGTTTATAGTCTAACTTAACTACACAATATCTACTTATATTACTTTCATTGCATCTTTCTCGATTAAAAAAAAAAAACAATTTGACATAACATCCATTATCTCATTACATCATTTATTAAATATTAAAGTTATTTACTAACTATAGTTTATTTACATTTTTATAACAAAATCAACTTCTCTCTTATTTACAACCAAGAGGTGCTCTAAAAAGGTATCAAATTCGGTGTACAAACTATATTTATTTTATTTTTAATAATATGATTCAATTAAAACAAAATAAAAAAAGTAAAAAAAAATTATACTTTTTGACTAGAAGAAAAATAGAAAAATTAAAAATTCTCTCTTTTTATATTCTTTTCAATTCATAATTCAGAATCTTTATCTCTCTCATGGAACAATATATGTATATAATATTGTTTATTTATTTTAAGAATATGGTTCACCTATTTTCTTTTTGAATATTTAATATATGATGTTGCATTACAGCGAATCAACAAGAATGGTTTGGTCCAGTCAAATGATGATAACCTATTTTAATATGATATTCTAAACTATTTTGTATCTTTTGTCAAAAACAAAGAAAGAACCATCATTTGCATCTTGGTTTTAATATAAGTCAAGAATCATCTGCTTTTGGAACCACAAGGCTACCAAAGGTGGAATATATCTTCATGGAGATTCCAACACGTGTACTTTTTTTTCTTTCAAAAATTTCCTTGTTTTATTTATGTAAAAAATATTAATCTCCTCAATTTTATTTAAAAATTAAATTTATATTCATACCTCGTATCTACATAATATAAATATAAGGAAGATAGTAAATAATAAATAAAATTTAATAAATATTAGCCTCGTATTTAGATATTTTTATGTTGATACTCTTCAAAAGTAAACGTACTTGACCGGCACCTGGTCAATGTTTGGTTGAGAGAAATTGTCTTTTAATTCAATCAATGTACTTTTAGTTAATTTAAAGTTTTATAATATTTATTTTTATCACATTTTTTAAATATTTATAAATATTTAGAAGATAGTCAAGAAGAAAATAAAATATATTTAAATTTAGGGGGAGACATATGTAGGAAAAAAAATTAAGGTAGAGAAACCTATTTAAAAGAATCTAGGACAGAAAAGAAATAGTGAAATATATTTTTTCTCCCTTGTTTTTTTTTTTTTTTTTGCATCTTTAAAAGAATTTTCAATGCCACGCGATTTATTATAATAACCGAGTCTGGTGCAGTCCTTTTTTTTTTTTAATAACTTTTTCATGTAAATATATTTTATTCTTCCAAATTTACTAATTTTGATAACTAATAATCATAAAATAAATTAATAACATTTTTTAAAATAATAATTATTGATATTATAGGACAAACACTAGGCGACGCACGCTCTTAATTCATTCATTCATGTGACAATTTAAAAAAAAAAAAAAAGAGAAACTAAGTCTCACATAATATATCAATTGGATATAATTTATTTTTCAAAAAAATAATAAAAAATCACGTAACATTGAAATTTTCCATTTAACACTTGAATTCACTATTTGGTTCACTGGATTATGTGAGAAAAATAGTTTCAATTTCATTATATATATATATATATATATATATATATATATATATATATATATATATATATATATATAAACAAAACGAATATATTTTTAGAATTAGAAAAATGCGTTCTCAAATATCCTTCAAATAGTTTTGATTATTTTCTCTGGAAAATTGTATATAAATAGTGAGTATCTCTATTTGCTAAAAAATGGTGAGTATTGAAGTAACTATATCTTTCACTCTATTAATTAATTATCTCATTGACTTATAACAATGGAACTTATTTCGTAGTGTGGGTTAACAATGGTTTTGGTCTAGTAAAAGAATATGGAGTCAACAGCAAATAGTATTTAGTTAATGATAGAGAGCATTAGAACCAATTTTGAATAAATGTGGAGTCATAAAGAATAATCTTTAAAACGATGTTGGGGAACCTTTCACGCAGAGAATAAAGATAAATGGTGACAAGGTGTCTAATCCTTTAGTGGTCCCAAAATACCCTAATTTCTCTCCTTTAATCACAATATTAAGAAACCTTGGAGTGTTTTTCACGTAAGAAAACAACATTTTCATTATACTGTTTAATATGCCCAACTTCTATTTTAGGGTTAAAAATATTGTAAAAGTAAAATCATAATAATAATAATTCATATAAGAGATATACTCATTCAAAGTATAAAGCAAGAACATTTTTTTTCTTCTGGAAAAAAAAAAACACATACACATGAGAATCTCTTACAAGAGACCATAGATCTCCATAAAGCAAAAGCTTTTTTTATTTATTCTACTTACACATGAGAGTCCTCTTCATTATGGCATTGGAGAAAATTTTATACCGTCCTACCATAGATTTGACTCTTATCTACTTCGATTCCTTTAAACCCTAATTTGATTTTCTAACAATAAGTCATCTCATAAACCACCAAGATATTTTCACACTTTAGTCTGCCATTGATTCGTGACTTTGGTAAGTTGTAGGAGACAATTTTGTCCGTTCATGGTAATAATTTAGAAGCCACTAGAAAAGAAAACAAAAAATATACAAAATATCTTCAAGATGCTATTTGGTTTAGACTTCAAAAAAATAAAATAAAATTGCCCATTATTTCTAATCAATTGATTCTTTTTCAGCATTGAATATTTTTTTAATAAAAAATATTGAATTTAGTTTTACCGAGGGTTTGGTTTCTACTTTTAGATTCTGAAAGCAAAACAACAGTTGTGGTCATTTAAAGTAAGTCATGACGATGAGATTTCTATCTACGTACTCTATGATATGGGAATTTTTACAATTTTAAGAAGACCAAAAACAGTGTTTAATTTTGGAAAAAAGAATCTTACGCAAGTTAGATGGGCCTAGGGTTTGAACTAATTTCCTTTTCAGATGTACAATTCGTACAAATTATGGGCAAGGTTTGCACATTAAACTACTTTCTTTTTATAGACAAATGAAAGTTTCCGAAATATGGGACGTGAGGAGCACGCGCTAGGGCGTGTTTGGTTTGGTTGGGCCAATCTCAACACGGTTCTTTCTTGAGATAAGGAATCCAATTATACAGGGACCCACTTTCGATATTGCCTCAGATTACGTCTGGAACATTGCACAGACGGGAAAGATGCCTTTTTTCCTTTTTTTTTGTTTCTGTTTTTTCTTTCTCGTTGTTATTTTTTTTTTTTTTTTTTATTACTGAAAAGGACAACCTTTTACAACAGTTAGATTCCACTTATCTTCCATATATATAATTAAGAATCTCCTTCCTTCCACAAAATTCTCCTTTTTTTTTCTTTATTAATTTATTGCGATTTGGTTTAAGATTCACACCTTTATTAGTATTATATTGATTGTTTATAATACAATAACGTTGATTGAATTTGATAATATTATCTTATTCTTATATTAAGCATGTAGTTTGAATTGTTCCCTCTCATTTCCTGTGTCTCCATTGCTTTTGTCAATGCTTACGATCAAAGAATCCACACCTATAAACAATTCAGGCCAATTTTCACAAATTCCCTCATAACAATTTTATATTTTCACTACATTCCTAAATACATAATATTTTCATTCATTCATTCATTCATTGTTTAAAGCTTGTTAAATGTTTAAAACCGTTCTCTTCTCCCGAAAAAATACATTGAGCTTATAAAAGTACTTCTTTTATAAATGGAAAGGAAAGCTTTAATATCAAACTGTTAGGTGAAAGTTTGTTTTTTTTATAAGAAAGCTACTTTATTTCATTGGATAAATTTACAAGGGGTAAGATTAATGCAAAAGGTTGCTTTTTGTTTTTGCAGCAACAAAATTACAACACGAGAAGAGATGAGACTAATTAGTGAATGAGATATGTAACACGTTTAATGAGTTAAATTAATACAAGATATATGGTAAAGATATGGGCAAAGATGATGATACTATTAAATTCAATGTGCTTTTGGGAAGGAAAGATAGGGTAAAAATAAAATAAAAAGGTATGCTAATTTTCAGCCGAAAGAGTGTGGTCTAATAAGTGACCTTCCATTTCAGATGTGTGCAAAACTTCTGCTTTATTTATTTCTACCCATAAAATAAGTTAACAGTAATCGATTGTCAACTAAAAGACAGTACCAAAGGACGTGACATATTAAAATTTCCAAGAATAGTGAAGAGCATAATTGTAATTTTATTCTTGCCGTAGCTTTCTTCTATTGCTTGGTTATTATTATGTTATGTTATTAAAGCAGTCAAAGGGGAATCCTTCTTCCAATGGAAGTAATGATAGCATGGAGTTGAAGACAACCAGGTCTTGGATCATGAGTTGCAAGGATCTTTCAAATTTCAACTCAGAACAAAATATTTGAGTTTAGGTCAATTCAAGGAGGAAAAATAAAGCTGGAAACAAAGTGGGAAATATGGAATTTTGATTCTTGGTGACAAAGACAAGGGGCTGTGGTGGGTGGTGGGTTACTTGACCTACT